TACTTGGCTCTTTAGCTGCTAAATGCTCCACTATATTCAGCAGCTAGTTGCTAACTGTATGAGGTAGGACACAGTCGATATTATCGCAGCTGTTTTGTTGAAAACAGTAGCTGCTGGACGTTGACAAGAGTGATGAGAGTGAACCAAAACAGTAAAGCTGTAGGTCGGCAAACAAATGATCTGAAAGAAGCTAAAAAGCTCAGTAGATGAAGGGGAACTGCAGAGTTGGATGATGATTCTGTGGGTTTGTCATTTCAGGTGACTCCTTTCAAATAACACATAGTCATTTGATCCATTGTTAATATAAAAATATTGATTATAGCAGCTTTAATCTTAATAAACCGGCAGGGCTGGGATTTTAATGTCATTTTCCCACAGAAGATCTCAAACAACAGAACAGCTGTATGTAAACTAAGTGCTCTAAAAAACCTTTTCGAAATGATGATAAGAGAATATTTTGTCTGACAACAGGGAGTCAATACAGAATCCACAAAACTCCCATGTCGCGCCTTAATTAAACATGGCTATGTTATCCAGAAAATTTATGCTAATCTCTAAACTGACACAGCAACAAAACAGGGTTTCAATTTGCATGTGGAGCAGGCAAATAAAAAAAGTTTATCCATCCATTAGGAGTGAGTTTTCTTTTGAGAAAACTATGTCAGACCCAATTCACTGCATGCCAGGAGTTAGAAATAAACATAAGTGAAGCTTTCCTCCTTACCTGTGAAGCGTCTGATTGGTCGGGAACAGTGCTGTGACTCACTACCTCCCCATCTGGGACTCTGGGTGAAACGGGAGGGACAAACCATCAGACAACGTGCAAACACAAGAATAAAAACAGTCCTGTGGCATAAATTACAATGCCCAAGGTGACTGTTACAGACTAGCACACAGCAAAAAAGCACAGTCCTGTACTATCTTTAGTGCAGGGGAACTGAAGGATCGCACAGAAAATGTCTTTGAAACTGCCCCATCCTGTTTCTTCCTGTACGTTACCTTGTGTGTAGTGGTGGTGGTGGACAGGATAGTTTTGCAGGTGAAGAAGAGGCAGTCTCGGTAGTAGACGGGGTAGGATATTTCTCTGCGTAACTCTGGGGGAACCAGCCCCTGTTTCCACGGTAACTCCCACACAGCCAGCCAGGCTCACCGACGGTCTGCTCATCCACCTGCATCATGGAAAACACAGTTCAATTAACCACAATCAGACATAACAAGGTGAGGATGATAAACATGTTGGTTCCCAACCGCAGTCATCTTTAGGAGCAATCAGGAACAATTACTATTACACAACAACCTCAGATTATTAGTATGTTTAGACACCCATCACACAAACATGTCCTGGCAGTGGGGTGTAAACAGACCAGTGACATATGTAATATGAAAAAATGACATATTGCAGTTTACACACAACTTGCTTCACTGTTATTTTTATGTGGTCTGACAACTCTTACTGTTCACTTCATCCTGGCTACTTCTGTCCTGCCTCTACTGCTTGGTTATGCCAAAAATGCAACCACAAGTAAAGTAATGTTAGCTAACTAGCAATAAAGTAGACTAATGTGAATGTGAGAAGTACTCAGATCATTTATTAAGTAAAAATACCAATACTACAGTCTAAAAAAGTAAATGTACTGCAGTCAAATTCTTACTGAGGTAAAAGTACATACGTTTTAGCATCAACAGTGCAGAATTATATATATTACTTAATTTTAATTAGTGGTGCTTTAATGTTTAGGGCTAATTTTAATTACTTTATGTATTGCTGGGTAGTTTAATACAAGTAATAATTTATTAATTGATTCATATTTTCTGTTAATAATCTGAATCTGCAAAGTAACAAGTGACTAAAGTTATCAAATAAAATTACAATATTGTAGTACAAGTATAAAGTAGTAAAGCATAGTAGCAAGTACGTCTCCATGGAATACAACCTGCTGTGTCCATAGATAAATGGACACAGCATAACATAACGATTCTTATTTTCAGGTGTTTATACATTAATGAAAACATTCCTATGAATATTATATTGCATTTCTGCCAACTGATCCTTTTAAGTACAGTACTTGAGTAAAGGTTCTTAGTTACATTAAACTGGGTACTATTTTACATAACAGTAAACAATGTGTAAATGCTACATAAAACTCCAGTTCATTGAGTTCCATTTCATGATACTTTATATTGTCAGTATATTGTTTTCTGTTTTCTGTGTTTACTGTGTGTCTGTGTGTGTGAGTGTGTGTGTGTGTCTCATACCTCTATAAGACAATCTGCGTCCACACTCAGCTCGTCTGTGTTTCGGGCCACAAACGAGTACAGAGCTCTATACATGGTCAGCTTGGAGGATGGCTGAGCCACCAACACCGGCTGCTGTCCTCCTCTGTCCTGCTCCTCTTTCCTCCTCCTCCTCCTCTCCTCCTCCTCTTCCTCTTTCCGTTTCCTTTCTTCCTCCTCCTCCCTCTTCCTCTTCTCCTCCTCCTCCTCCTCTCTCCTTCTTCTCTCCTCTTCCTGTGCTTTCTCCTGGGCCGCTCGGAGCCGAGCTTGTGCCTCCCTCTCCTCCTCTTCCCTCTGTCTGGCCCTCTGCTCCTCCAGGAGCCTCCTCTGACGTGCTTCCTCTTCCTCTTTCTCCCTATTTTCCTGCTCTCTTCTTTCTTGCTCTATCTTAGCCTGTCTGTGGGAAGTAAATGCAACTTTTTAAAAACACAGCACAGTAAGATGAAGAGAAACAAAAGCAGATGTGTAGTATCATGCATAATTTGCTCCAAACACAAATTAAGTCATAAGTTCCCTCACACTCACCTGGCTGCCTCCTCTTCCTCCCTTCTCCTCCTCTCCATCTCCTCCTCCTTGCGTCTCTGCAGCTCCCTCAGTTTCTCCTCTTTGACTTTGTACAGGTCGTCCAGGACTGCCTGCTGCCTCACCTGCTTCTCCCTCAGCTCCTGATGCAGCCACAGGATTTACAATGCGTTAGAGAGACATTAAAGATACAAGCATTAACTTATGGACTTATGGTCTTATGGTCAGCCACAAAGCACAACAACTGTTTGAAAGCTTTAATATTGCTGTACAGTATATTAAATTAATATTCAATCTATAAAAAAAAGATGCACTTCAAAACTCATCTATACATATGTGGTGGTTTTAAAAGAGTATTTAATGCAATAGTACAAATACAATCATCCCAAACATGCAAAACGGATGGGAAAAAGCCAGCCCACACACTGGCAGCCATTCAAAAAGAAACATGCAGATATATGCACATATGTATAAGCAGAGTTCAATGTTTTTCTCTTTCTAACACACTAAATTGTGCAGGTTAAGCATTCTGTGTGTATGTTTTACCCTCAGGGTGCATCCTGTTTACACAGACAACACAGACTAAAACATAACCCATGGAGAGAAACAACAACAACAAAAAAAAAGGGAAGATGTGGCACCAAAGCAGAGCTCCATTTAATAATGAGTCAAAAGACAAAAGAGCAAGGATTAGCGAACAGATCGAATCATCATGGGATGAAAAGGAACAGAAGATAGTGGCTTAAGGGAAAACAAGAGGTGAGATGACAAGAAACATAATAAGGAGGGGGGGTGAAAAAGATTACACAGTGGGAGGTAGAGAGAGGGAGAGAGAAAGACAGGGAGGAAGAAAGATAACCTTGATGAGAAGGAAGAGCTGGCTGAGGCAGGCCAGCAGAGACAGAAGGCCTCGCAGGACACAGTCATCCATATCCCCAAGCTATGAAAGAAACACACAGTGTGATGATAAAGGGTGGGAAAGGGAGGAGGAGGACAGAGGATGGGACAGACAGAAGGCATACATGTGATCAAGATATAAGGAGGAAAACAGAGGTGAGTTGTAAGAAGGATGAAAAGAAGAATAAGGTGCGTAAACGGAAAAGAAGCATCAGAGAGAAAATAAATGGAAAACCAGAGACGTGAATTAGTAAGAAAGATGTCCAGGTTGTAGGAAGCAGAGGAAAAAAAGAGAGGGAGGAGAGAAAAGAAAAGCAGTTAAAAGAAGAAAACAATTGAAAAGACCAAAAAGAGAGAGCAGGCCTTTTGATGCTGCAGTTATTAGTATCAGATTGACAATATATTGTGAGAGGACATGGCATGGTATTGAATTATCAGGCTTTCTGCCAGCGAATGTGTACATCTGAGTCTGTATGTGTGCAATAGTGGTTAGGTAACGAGGTTTTCTTTGCCTGAGAGGTGAAACTCCGAAGTTACAATGAACACGATTTCACAGCAGCATTTAAAGTGTGAAACTCCCTGTTTTTGTTTTGTTCAGATAAAAAATTGCTGAAGTAAAGAAAAAACAACTCCCTACAAACCAGCTTCTGGTCTGTAATATTGGTGTAATCCATCATATAGTGATGTTGCTTTACTTTGCCGCACTGTAGTATTATTCTGAACATACCAAACTTGTATCCTGGAATATCAATCTTAAATATATAACCTTAAGAATAGTTTGACATTTGTCTGTCAAGTAAGTACGGAGCGAGCCGGTTGATTAGCTTAGCTAGCATAAAGACTAGAAGCAGGGAGGAGGGAGCTAGCCTGGCTCCCTCCAAAGGTAAATACACCTGCAAACTTTTAAAAAGGTGGGGAAAGTGATTCTGGAAAACACTTTTTGTCAGCAGATATCTCCTCCTGGTCTGCTTTCCACTCTGTTTGTGCGGTTTTAAAAAGAAAAAAGGTGTTTGTAGACAGACCCGGCTGTGTAAATGGGAAACAAAAGATTTTGTTATTCCAAGCAGGATTTATGTGTTCGGTAATGTTAAATTACTTTCCCATGAACATTCAGCTCACTTTCTCGCTTGCCAAGATATGCTGTCGATGTGATGTTAGCTATAGTAGCAGGAGAGTTGTGAGTATCGCTGTCTGGAGAACGCTTTTAGCAGCAACAGAGATTAGTTAACACTTGTATCGTTTGCAATATATCATGGTATTATTTGTCATGTAATGGGATTTCTCCAGAATCACTTACCCCACCTTTAAAATGCATTTAAAATTGTGTAAATGTAACAGTTTCTCATCTATTTTGAATGTATGCCAAACAGTTTTAGATTTTGGAATGTTTTTTTATGATTGCAGGGAACTACTGGTTTTTTCTCATATCTGCAGGGCATGAAAATCCATTAGCACATGCTTAAAACTTTACTTTTGTGTATGTAAGTTAAGTCAATAAGTTGGCTTTAGTTATTAAGTGTTGCATAATGTTAGTGTGGTCATGAAGTTGAAACTCAGACCGACAAAATTGAACATAACTCGAGCAAGTTTTAAGAGACTGCTTCTTGATTTTCATACGAGGGAAACTGATGAAAACCAATGGTTTTCACTAACCTTAAGCTCCTTGTTGTACTGCTCCATCTGGGCCAGTTTGTCTGTGGTCTCCCTCTCCAGAGTGTCAAGCTGGTCCTTTAGCCTCCGGCAGTTCACACCTTTCTCTGTCACACTCCCGGTCAGAGAGGTCAAAGCCACCGCTACAAGGGAAAAGGTCAAAAGTCAGAAGGAAGTGAGAGAATTCATGACTGATGTATGTGTGTGTGTTGTGCCAGCAGGCATTTGTCACCCACAGGAAAGTTTGTTGAGGCTGATGTTTTGCAGCTTCTCTGTCAGTCTGTGTTGTTCTGGTACCAGCTGTGAGAGCTTCCTTTGCCAGTCCTATTGCAAACACAGAGGCATCGAAACAGGAAATGAAAAAAACATTCCCGTGAATAATTTAAATGCAAACAGCTTGATGGGGAAGGAGCGAGAGCAAACACATTTCTTTAACCTCAAACTGAAGCTGCAGCGAGTTGATCTCTGTGATACGCGTGTCCCTTTTCTGATTGACGAGTTCCACCTCTGCCTTCAGAATCCGCCTCTTGCTCTGAGCGTCACGGAGACGGTCTGAGATCTGCTTGTGCTTGTTGCCCTGTGAGACCGGTGACATTAGTGTGTGCGCTTTCATTAACATTGCGAGATTGTAAGTACGCGTATTCATCAGCGTCTCACCACAGCCTCCAGCTCCAACTCTAGACTCTTCTTTTTGGCCCTGAGTCGGGAGATCTCATCCTGCTCCCCCTCTCTCCTCCTGCCCAGCTCCTCTTTCTTCCCACGCTCCCACTCCTCCCTCCGCTGGCGCTCCATCTCCTGCTTTGCCGCCTGAAAGTAGAAAGGAATGTGGTCATCTGACGTGGCTCTCTAGATGTTCAGCATCTCGCGGGTGAGGCTACTTTCTCCCACTCACCTCCTTCCTCTCCAGCTCTCTCATCCTCTCCTCCTCCCTCTGTCTCTCCATCTCTCTCTGCCTCTCCAACCGCCTGTCCTCCTCCAGCCTCCTACGGTTTTCCTGCTCCCTGGCCTCCCTCTCCCTCCTTTCATGAGCCTCCCTCTCCTCCCTTTCTCTCCTCTCCCTCTCCTTCCTCTGCAGTTCCTCCAGAGCCAGTCGCCGTTTCTCCAGCTCGGCGCTGCCCCGTGCAAAGTTCTCTTTCAGCTTGTCCTCAAAGGACACTAAAAAGAGGAGGAAGAGAGAGGTATGAAACAGAGGAAGACTCACACTATAACAAAACAGACCGAGTGCAGGATGTGCCCTACCACTGCTCTTGGTCTTCTGTGCAGGCTCTATCTCTGTTGTGTCTATTAAACAGGGAGTTATGTAGGGCCCCGTTCCATTAACAAGCTCACTGGACTTGATTCCTCCTCTGAAATGATAAAAAAAAACAATGTCTGTAGTTGTGATAATGAATATATGCAAGTCCAGTGTCAATCTGTGTGTGTACGTGTTACCTGAGAGAGGGAGGTACCAGGTCTTGAGGCAGTGTGAGTGGTAAGGGTCTGCCAGTTTTAGCCATGTCCACCAGGTGCATGGCCAGGATGAACTCATCCCCTTGTAACTGACCGTCCTTATCCACATCTGCCAAGTTCCTATGTACACGCAATAGGAGAGTAAAGCAATAAAGATGAAATTTTTTTGGGGGGGTAGAATATCATGATTGTATTATTAGTAGGCAGTGGAACAAGCTAGAAACATTAGCAAATGATCACCTCATAAAGCTGTTGATGAGGCAGTTGCCCATTTACACATCCAGCAGACACAAAGCAACATTACCATTCATTTGCAGTCATGTTTTGGACAATTTGGTTTCAATATTCTCTCTGCTCTTTAGCTCTGTTTTGGTTTCCACAAGCTTTATAAGGAAACATTGGCATTCAAGCAGTTAGGGGCTGCACCTCTGCAATGCCCAGGAGGTGGCTGGCAACCTCTGCAGCTACCAGTCCACACTCTGTAACATGGTCCAGGCTGGACTTGAATACGCTGCCTGGTTAACTTCCAAAGACAAGCCCCTATAGAGCCACTGCCGCCTCTTAAACCAGAACAAAGCCTCTAAACCACGACTATCAACTAAAAGACACTAAAAAGCTCCAATCAGCCAGATATACTGCTGTTTATAGTACACACAACACTGAGGTGCGACAAAGTCAGAAGTACAATTTTGGATAATATTCCACTTCTGTTGTATTTCCACCATCTTTTCCCTGCCACAGAGGCCAGTAATGTGGGGAACATTGCAAATTTCAGCATTAAAAAAAATAGAGAAATCCACAATATTTTATAATATTTATATAATAGTTTTGATCTCTGTTTGGCTTTCCATTTTTAGAGCTTTTTATGATTTTCAGTGGCATAAAACTGGAGAGCAAAGACACCACACACACACACACACACACCTTCTACTCACCAGATGGTAGCTAGCTGAGTGTGGGTCAGGTTGGACGCTATCAGCGCATTTCTAACTTGAGGTCCTGCAAAGTAAAAATAACATCAGAAAATAATAGTGAAGAGTGAATTCTCACCGCAACTGATGACGTGTTTATGTACGTTCTGTCAAGTGGGGTTGAGAGCAAGTACGTGAGTGCATGTGTGTAAAGTGAAACGGATCCGGAGTTTGCTCTGTCAAACTTTGAGAAGACCACTCCTGAGCTGCCAAGAGGTCTTGAGAACCTCATGTTTATTTAGGTTGGAGTGTGTGTGTGTGTGTGTGTGTGTGTGTGTCCTACCTGACAAGTAGCCACTCATGAGCTTATCTAGCGTGTTGAACTGCTGACGGTACTTAAGTCTCGAGGCCTGTGGAACGGCCCAATCGCTCGCACCCGTCTTCGGAGAGTTACTGGCCAGCGACGTGGTGGAGGAAGAATTTGAACTACGAACAGAGAGAGAAAGAGAGGCATGTCGATGTGCCAAGATATCACCTAAAGGGAAATTACACAATAATATTATGTGGTCAGTGTTCCCTTTTCTCCCTCGTATTCAAGCCCCGACTTAAAACCACTAATTGCTTCGAGACTCCCCAGTGTTATTTCTCAGCTCTTAATTAGCAGTAGAGGAAGCCGCTGCAAACGACCACGTACAGTAGACAACGACTCTCTGAAACAAGACAGCACTGTTTCCTCAGGCAACGCTAATCAGCCATTCTGTTTTTATTATAAACAATGCCTCTGCAAAAATAGCAAAAGGATAGGCTGGGTCGATGATGTTCATTTGAGAAGAATGTTTTTTTTTTTTCTCTTTCGTTCATTATAGGGTGTAAACTTGCAGTGCTCCTCTGGAAACGAAAGGATAAGTTTCAGGGAGACAATAGGTGATGTAGTGTGGGATACTCCCTCTGCCCAAGGGCTTCTTTTTTTATGTGTGTGTGTGCATTAGTGAATTAGTCGCACCAAGTAGAGCTGTAAAATTCCCTTACATTTAAACTTGTTATGGGACCGGAAACAAAAAACAGGAGAAAAACAAGGAGCCTAACATGATATAAGAGGGTGTCACAATTAGGACAGGAAGGGTAAAAGTGATGTGGGTGGCTGTTGTCATCTTACTCTCGGCATTTGACTTCCAAACACTCCTGCTGCCCTTATTATTGCCTCACCACCTACACTCGAGGTCAGGACGTTTTGTATGAAGCAACGGGGCACTCTCAACAATATATTCAACATGAAATCAGACACTACTCCTATCCTGTTTCCCAAACCACACAAAACACCATGAGAAGGAGCAAGGATATTGGATACTACTGTTGTCTTTTTTGAAGGGAATCTGGCTGCTGCTGAAACTGCAAAAAAACCTCCCCAACTCTGTTCCAATCCACAAATGAAAGTTTGACTGTTGTCGATAAAGGACTACAACAGTTCGGGGTTAGGTGCCTTGCTTAAGGGCACCTCAGCAATACACAGTAGGTGGAACTGGCACCTCTCCAGCTACCAGTCCCCACTCCATACTGTGGTCCGTGCTGGACCTGAACCAGCGACACATACCCATATTAGCATTTAATGTAACATAACCCATCTGTGACAATTAGAAGCAGTCCAACAATAGTGCATAATCTCCTTTAGTCCATTATCTATAACCTGTTCCTTTGTTTTACAGACCTCATCTGTAGACTAAGAGTCAACAGCCAGGCCAGCAGCTCTGTGCTTTGAGCTAAATGCTACCATTATTGGCTGATGGTGTGTAGTATACATCATCTATATCATAAATATAAACTTTATGGTGCTGCTAGAGGAAGTCATTAGGCTTCATCCTCTGGGAGCCATGAATATTTGTAACTAACCTAACCAGGAAGATGGACTGACAAGATCGTTCATCAGGCTTCAATCTGAGCGTTTGTGGCCGGTATAAGAGTACCAGACCAATCAGCATCCTTTGAGGAAGTACTGGCAGTGACAGGGGTGGGCAGTTATATCAGAACTAGAGAGAATTTCTTCACTGAAAGAAGAGCAAAGAACAGCACCAAAGGCTTTTCTTGATGGAAAATATGTTCTCTTCTCCTGACTGTCTTCAATAAGAGTTTGACTACATTAAAAAAGGTTTGTTCACATGGTTCATCCAATCACCTGCCGAGTATTTATATCAGAATGAAAATCAGAATGGGGTTTATTTCCAACTTGTTTTTCACATGCAAGGAATTTGCCATGGTGATAACAGGTGCATAACAATCAAATATAGAAAATATAAATAAAGATACAAATAGAGTAATGTAAAATATGGTTAAATACTTAAATCAACAATACATGGCAATCCAATCAGTAGTTGTTGAGCGAAAACACCAGTGAGGTGGACCTACGGCTACTAAAGTAGACTCAAACTTCACAGCAGTAGTGACCTCCTCCTATAGGAATGTCACTTGATGCCAGCTCTTGTCTAATGTTAGTGACTCTAAACAAGCCCACTTCCTACTGTTGCCAACTAGAACATCTGACTTCAAAAGGCCTTCCTGCTCTCTCTGTTATCTAAGTGTTTCATCTCTGTCTGCATTCTGATCCTCAACCCTTCCCTGCAAAAACTCTGCTTCTTTCTGAGCTGAATTAATGGGCTGGCAGTGTGCGACTTATACCAGTGTTAATACCAGCATTTCTCTTAAAATAACTACATAATAAATGGTGAGTTATTTTATACAATATGTATTTATATACACTCTGGGTCTCACCTGCTGGATGCAAGATCAAGAAGAGAGTTTGCCTTTGACATCCCAGTCGATGGAGAGAACGTCATAGGAGAGGAGAAGCCAGAGAGGGGGAGCGCTGCAAACATTGGTTAATAGTTAAATATGATTTTGACAAATTCAAGGTAATGCATTAGTGCATGCATGTAAATACATTGTGCGTGCATATGCTTTCCTTATGCAATCAATCTCTGACATACTGTAGAAGTGTAGGGTGCGATTGTCCTTGAATGCGAGTACATCTAATCTTATCTTCCCATACTTTATAGTCGCAGCACACAGAGCTACAGCAGCAAGGTTATTGACATCTGGCTAAAAACAAAGTGATCGTGGCTGTCTGCAACCCTGCGCTTAAGAGGGTTAGCTGTGGCACTGAAATATATTTCATCAGCAGGGAGAGAGGGATAACAACGAGAGAACACCAAATAATAGAGACATTTCACACTCACTCATTAGCTTGCTCATTTCACAGACAAAACGTGTGGTTGAACAGACTGAGATTAAAGAGAGCAAGGACAGATGCAGGAGGTGAGAGATGAAGGGTCAGATAAAAGAGAAACTAAATGAGTATGTATATATCATAAGTACACCCACACTTGATATCAGTGAATGTTTTTATCCAATAGGTACAGTAACTGCAGCAAAGACTGCGGTGACTCATCTCCTTGCTGCTAAAAAGCGTTACTTTCTGCAAACGTACATACACTTCCTGTGTGGATTTCAAGTCAGATATAAGACCTCAGGGAGTAGATATCATGTGGCATTTGTACTTCACGCATTGCACCATTAACATGCAAGACCTGAATAACTGACCCTGATACACCAAACATTACACACCAGGATTGGATTGCAGCAGCTATTCATATGTTTGTTACTAAGTTTGTGCAATCGTGCTTCTTAAGCTTTTAGTAACTACTAGCTGGTTTCAAACTAGGGATCTTGTTAGGAATTCACTTTGCTAGTAATGTGTAAATGCAAAGAAATATGTGTAGCAGGACTCAATTAAAAAGCTATCAACTAGTGTTACGTAAAGAAGAACATCACTGTCGCTGTCAAACTACAAAACACAACAGTTTTAACAGTAAGGTTTAACTGCCAATTTGCATATATAAATTAAAGTCATGCCTACATTTGCAAACATGGAAAAATCAGCAACTATTCACTATTCACTAATGTTAATTCAGTTACTGAATTAATGTTAATTTGGGATTATTCTACCCCAAAATACATGCATTGTATTCTTTTCATTTTACAGTCTACCTGTGTCAGTGTTCCCAGCTGCAATGCTACCATAGTGGGCTTCTTTGCATGTGCACAGGTTAATATTAATAGCCATTCAGCAAAGATATAAAGCACAAGCTTATCTGTGCTGTGCGGTGTTTTTTCAACAGATCTCAGATGTCATGTCTCATGTGAAATAACCCTGTAGCATATTCATTTAAATGAATGGCTCTGGAACATAATTCAGCATCTTCAGCATGCCTTCATCTACTTGATCTCGGGTCAAATCTGAATGAATTGGTGCTAAACCACTAATCAATATCCATCTTTATTTGTCCAACAAGCAAATCGGAATGGTTCCGCTGCAGAACCAACCTGCATTGTTGGGAACAAGAGGTGAGGTGAGGAGGTTGACATTGCCGTTGGGGAGTCCAGAGTTTCCCAAGGAGGTGATGAGGGGCAGAGTCATTGGCATTGGCACCAGGGGTTGCACAGGGTGCATGTGGGGGTTAACCGGGATGGGTGTTAGGATGGGCATGGCTGACATAGCTGACATGGATGACAGACCGACTGACAGGTTTGGCATAGAACCCATTCCTATTAGGAGGAAACACACAGGTGAACATGAAAAGATCAGGAACACTGTTTCAGAAGACAGACTAAGTTGAAAAGTTACATTTGGTTACTTTCATTTTCCACTGTCACTGATGACATAACACTTCTTGGTTAGGTTGTGACAAAAAGTGTAGGGGTTTTAAAATTGGATTGTAACTGTAACATCCTGAGTCGAGAATTTTTACCGAAGCGTGCTGATGAAGGGATGGTTGAAGCAGAATTGGAGACGGGAGATTGCTTCATGATGACGGGCAGGGAAGAGGGTAAGTTCCGCCCCTGAAGTTTGAGTTTAATGAGTTTCATGGCGATGGAGAACTCCAGTCTGTCCATCTTCCCATCGCTGTCCATGTCAGCTAGGTTCCTAGAGACGGAGAGAAAGCTGAGGTATAATATGATCTCTTTATAGCAAAGTGCACATTCCTAGTATTGTTTTTCCTTTATTGAGACAATAGAAAAGGCGAGTTTTACACAAGGGACACGGCTCTGGTGGGATTGAATTCCACACACACACACACACACACACAGTCTGTTCTAATTACAGTACACACACACACTTTCTCCCCCCTCTTACACACACAGTTTACTAGGCGGGGCAGGCTGTGAAGGAAGTTAGTTCTCAACAGGAAGTTCAAAGCAGGCTGAAAGGACCAAACTGACCAAAAACAAAAGTTTGGACCTACTGACCTTCGTGCTCTTGCTTAAGGACACATTATGTAGGATAAAGACTCTGTGGTTAGGTTGTGCTTACCAGATCTCTGCCAGGACAGAAGGAGGCAGGCCGGACTGGAGGAAGAATTTCCTGGCTTGTTCTCCTTAAGACAGACAGAAATCACTGGGGTTCAGAGAGGCAGACATTTGATACAGCTGAACTACTGATAACACTTCTAGGTATTCATCATAAACAAATATCGGGTCTGTTTGTTATGACAACAGCCTACCTGAGACATAGCCGAGGACGGGGGCAAGGCTGTCAAACTGCTTGTCGTGTTTCCCCCTCTCCTCTGGAGTGATGGCCCACACACTGGCTCCGCCTGGACAAAACCAAGAGACAATCCTGATTT